ACAATTTCTTCAATTTTATGGTAGAATATAGATGGTGAGTTTGTGAACAGTGGATGATGAGTTTATGGACAGTGGATGGTAAATGGTGAAATTGTAGATATTGGATGCTGTTTTTGTTCATCGATCTCTGAAAATGGTATGTTACCAATCACAACACTAATTAGGGTTTTTTCATCAGTCTCACATATGGTTCATCATTCGAAAAATTGTTTGCTATCCTCTATATATTAATCATTTAATCCTCTATATATATAAATGAGGAGACTCTAGAAAAAAAAAATCATATGTGTCATTCAATGAGTATTTTAAGGGACATGTCATTTATATTAACTAATTAGACAATTTTAATTAAAACTATATACTATGATAGAAATCTCTACATATTCTTATTAATGTTATAACATAAGCTAATCAATACATGTTAAAAAAATATTAATCCAATTAAATGTAATAATTTAAATTACCATATCATCTTTTTCTTATTATATTTATAACAATATTATTTATTGTGTATATATGTATTTATATTAGTAAAATATACAAATTTTTTTGTTATGATGTAGTCTATGATACATATTTAATCACACATCCAAATATTTGTACATTTTGTTATTAGAAAATATATATATTATTTTTTCATTTATTATGTCCGATAAATCCATATAAATCTAAAATTATCTGATTTATAGTATGGTCTACAATTTAAACGAATAATGAAAATTAATTTTAGATTTAAAAGATATTGAAATAAATAATATTTGCATATGTTTTGATCAATTTTACACATAAAAATATCAAAAATAATGGCATTAACGTATGTTTGATCAAAATTATTTAATTTTATTATATGTATGCACAATACTTTTTGTACATTTAAAAATATTAAAAACCATATTATACACATTTAAATATTAAAAATTTATATATTTTAAAATTAATTAGTCAACCTATTAAATTATTTAATCTCGCGTTTTGACGTAGGGCAAAATCTAGTTTTAAAATCATTTCCAAGACATTGGTACTAGCTTTACATAAAATACCATTACTACTTTTTTAGTACATCAATTTTGTTAAAATTAGTTCTTTGCCAAAGTTGGTGATATATAACATAAAAATATATTCATTTATAATGCACAAAACATATAACCATTTTAGATTGACAATGCAAAAACTATATAACCATTTTAAGAATAAAAATCTGGAAAAAGTCATACTTTATTTTGCTTTGTCTCTCAATGATTAATGTATTTACCATGAAATGGATTCTTCCTTACAACCGTTTAATTTCGGCTGAATGAAATTG